TTTACCCTCCTCCCTCCCCAGTTACTTTCGTTTCTCAGGAGCCGATTATCCTCCTCCCTCCCCAGCTCCTCTCGTTTCTCAGGAGCCGATTACCCTCCTCCCTCCCCAGTTCCTCTCGTTTCTCAGGAGCCGATTACCCTCCTCCCTCCCCAGTTCCTCTCGTTTCTCAGGAGCTGATTACCCTCCTCCCTCCCCAGTTACTCTCGTTTCTCAGGAGCCGATTACCCTCCTCCCTCCCCAGCTCCTCTCGTTTCTCAGGAGCCGATTACCCTCCTCCCTCCCCAGTTCCTCTCGTTTCTCAGGAGCCGATTACCCTCCTCCCTCCCCAGTTCCTCTCGTTTCTCAGGAGCTGATTACCCTCCTCCCTCCCCAGTTACTCTCGTTTCTCAGGAGCCGATTACCCTCCTCCCTCCCCAGCTCCTCTCGTTTCTCAGGAGCCGATTACCCTCCTCCCTCCCCAGCTCCACTCGTTTCTCAGGAGCCGATTACCCTCCTCCCTCCCCAGCTCCTCTCGTTTCTCAGTAGCCGATTACCCTCCTCCCTCCCCAGCTCCTCTCGTTTCTCAGGAGCCGATTACCCTCCTCCCTCCCCAGCTCCTCTCGTTTCTCAGGAGCCGATTATCCTCCTCCCTCCCCAGCTCCGCTCGTTTCTCAGAAGCCGATTACCCTCCTCCCTCCCCAGCTCCTCTCGTTTCTCAGGAGCCGATTACCCTCCTCCCTCCCCAGTTCCTCTCGTTTCTCAGGAGCCGATTACCCTCCTCCCTCCCCAGTTCCTCTCGTTTCTCAGGAGCCGATTACCCTCCTCCCTCCCCAGTTACTCTCGTTTCTCAGGAGCCGATTACCCTCCTCCCTCCCCAGCTCCTCTCGTTTCTCAGGAGCCGATTACCCTCCTCCCTCCCCAGTTCCTCTCGTTTCTCAGGAGCCGATTACCCTCCTCCCTCCCCAGCTCCTCTCGTTTCTCAGGAGCCGATTACCCTCCTCCCTCCCCAGCTCCTCTCGTTTCTCAGGAGCCGATTACCCTCTTCCCTCCCCAGTTACTCTCGTTTCTCAGGAGCTGATTACCCTCCTCCCTCCCCAGCTCCACTCGTTTCTCAGGGGCTGATTACCCTCCTCCCTCCCCAGTTACTCTCGTTTCTCAGGAGCTGATTACCCTCCTCCCTCCCCAGCTCCTCTCGTTTCTCAGGAGCCGATTACCCTCCTCCCTCCCCAGTTACTCTCGTTTCTCAGGAGCCGATTACCCTCCTCCCTCCCCAGTTACTCTCGTTTCTCAGGAGCTGATTACCCTCCTCCCTCCCCAGCTCCACTCGTTTCTCAGGAGCCGATTACCCTCCTCCCTCCCCAGCTCCACTCGTTTCTCAGGAGCCGATTACCCTCCTCCCTCCCCAGCTCCTCTCGTTTCTCAGGAGCCGATTACCCTCCTCCCTCCCCAGTTACTCTCGTTTCTCAGGAGCCGATTACCCTCCTCCCTCCCCAGCTCCTCTAGTTTCTCAGGAGCCGATTACCCTCCTCCCTCCCCAGCTCCACTCGTTTCTCAGGAGCCGATTACCCTCCTCCCTCCCCAGCTCCTCTAGTTTCTCAGGAGCCGATTACCCTCCTCCCTCCCCAGTTACTCTCGTTTCTCAGGAGCTGATTACCCTCCTCCCTCCCCAGCTCCTCTCGTTTCTCAGGAGCCGATTACCCTCCTCCCTCTCCAGTTCCTCTCGTTTCTCAGGAGCCGATTACCCTCCTCCCTCCCCAGCTCCTCTCGTTTCTCAGGAGCCGATTACCCTCCTCCCTCCCCAGCTCCACCTGTCTCAGGCAGGATTTGGCATTCCCCCTGAATCAGACTAAAGTCTTGAATTATGTTCCACACTAAAATTAATTGATATCTGCAATACATTCATGTTTACCCTGAGGGGGGTTATTGCTGCTCTCCTGCTCTTATCCTTGCTAGGCTGCCCAGAACAGCTCCAGACCGCCATTCCTAACTGTATGCTAACTGTCAATCATATTTGGCGATAGTGGTCCTGACAGAATTATGTGCAAGTAGCCGTGTAATAAGTGGATAATGTACATCCAGCCGGTCGTTATCTCAGAATAAACCCCTTCAGGTGTGTGTGTGTGTGTGTGTGTGTGTGTGTGTGTGTGTGTGTGTGTGTGTGTGTGTGTGTGTGTGTGTGTGATCTCAGAATAAACCCCTTCAGGTGTGTGTGTGTGTGTGAGATCTCAGAATAAACCCCTTCAGGTGTGTGTGTGTGTGTGTGTGTGTGTGTGTGTGTGTGTGTGTGTGTGTGTGTGAGATCTCAGAATAAACCCAACTTCAGGCTGATGAAGACCTGATCCTGATCACCCTGTCGGGTTTATTCTGAGATAACAACCGGCTGGATGTACATTATCCCGTACTTAAGGAGTACACAAACAAATCCCGTACATTATCCCGTACACAAACTCACTTACAAGACTTGCTTCTCCAGTAAATGTATCTTGATTTAAGAATGTTTTAGATGTTTGTGCTGGAAAGCGAGACAGAAACCTTGAGGAAGAAGCTCATGTGTTCAGTGTTTGTGTGTGTTGTTGAGAGACAGACAGGAGGTAGATCTGACGCTTCTCACATTCATTCCTGCCTGCTTTTCTCTTGTGTGTGAGATCTGAGGTTATTCCTCCCGAGCCGAGGCTTCACCCCATCCCATCCGCATTCGGTGTCGTGCGTGTGACGTCACGTATGTCTATGACCTCTCATGTGCATGGACAGATAATGTGGACCGGATGAGGGGGGAGTGACAGTGTGGCACGAGACAATAAACCAATCATTTCCATTCCTTAGTTCGTTATGCTAATGATAGTCTTTAAAACACACTTTCTCATTATAACGTGCACATGTTTTTACAACAGAACACAGTTTTACTATAATTTCGGAATGGCTGCATTAGACTATATTAGATATTATGTCTTGTTTTCTGGAGAAATTGATCAAAATGAAGTGAGTTGATGCTTAAAAAAAGCAAAATGATCTGCCAATGGGGTAAGAAAAATAATCTTAATTTAAACAAACACGACCGCATTGGCAGATCAGTTTGCTTGTTTTAAGCAAAAACTCACCAGAAAACAAGACTTAATATCTTATGTAATTTTACTACTTTAGTAAATGCATCTTGATTTAAGTGTTTATTAAAGAGTTAAATGTTTGATATTTGGACTGGAAACAAGACAAAAATACTAAGTAAGAAAAGCATTTTTTGCAGTGTAGACTATATTAGATGAGGACCTGGGTTCAGGAAGTATATTTCCCATTCATTCAATTAAAAGACACAAGACTGCGTAACGAGGGAATGAATGACCTAGTCGTCCCATAAAGCACTGGGTTTTTTTTGTCTTAAAGGGACGGTTCACCCAAATGTGATCATTCTGTCATTATATACTCTCCCTTGTGTCGTTTCTTTCTTCTGTGGAACACAAAAGAAGATATTTTGAAGAACATTGGAAACCAAATAACTTTGGACCCCATTGACTTCTTTTTTGTTGCATCAAAGAGAGAAACTTTTTGAACACATGATGACCATTTTAGAGTGAACTATCGCTTTAACTGACTTTGACTTCCGCTTTAACTGACTTTAGGTAGGTAGCTATTTAGTTATATAGCGGTCTTTCAGTTTTTTCTGAATTGCATTAATTACAATATGATTATTTTGTAAGCGCACTGATTTAGGCTGATCTCATCCCCGCCGGCACACAACCGACACTCTGAAGGTGATCAAAATAATGAAAGCTGTTTTACAAAGAAAGGTTGTAAAAAGGTTAGCAAAATACTTCGACATTATTGCAAGATCTGCATGAAAAGTAAAGCTGAAACAATGTTGTGAAATTTAAATCAATTTTAACCCTGACTCAACCGTGATTCATGACGTTGATTCACCGTTAATAAATATTGAAATGTGCTTTAAAAATGTCAGTTGTTTTATTGTTAGAAAAAGGTTAGCGCTAAATGGTTGTAAAAAAATTTACAAAATGCTTTAAATTATAGCAAGATCTGTACGAAATGTGAAACGTTGATTCAATTAGCAAAATTCAATACTGATTCAACTGTCAGTTGATGTTTCAGCGTGGGAAAAGTGTTTAGTGATAGATTAATTCAATTTACTTGTAAATCAACGCTGAAAGTCTACAGAAAATAGAACGTTGAAACAATGTTGCAATATTAACATTCAATTGATTTGCAGAATTGAAAGCAGTTTTAACCCTGATTCAACCGTGATTCATGACGTTTATTCATCCGTGAATAAATATTAAGATGTGCTTTAAAAAAATGATGTAAGGCAAGGCAAGGCATGGCAAGGCAAGGGAAGTTTATTTATATAGCACATTTCATACACAATGGTAATTCAAAGTGCTTTACATAGAAGAAATTAAAATAATCAAAACAAATAAGAATAATTAAAACAGAATGTAAGTTGATGTTTCAGCGTTGGGAAAGCGTTTAGCGCTAGATTAACAACGTACTTGTAAATCAACATTGAAAATCTCTACAGAAAAGAGAACGTTGAAACAATGTTGCAATATCAACGTTCATTCGATCTGCTAATCTGAAACTTCAACCTTGACTCAGATTTACTCATGAATTAACATTGAAATATGGTTGAAATAATGTCAGTTGTTGCTTCAACACTGAAAACAATGACATTTAATGTAAAGTGGTGAACAAAACACGTCTGAATCGACAAGGTCACAACATTGACAGAATATCAGTGTTGATTCCATTTCCCAAATTGAAATCCAGAAAGCCAGTTCGTGACGCGGCTAACCTCGGCTAGCTCTCGGAGAGTCTGGTCTAGAATGGGATTTTTACTTCCGGCCTCGTCTCATTCTTTCATGCGGACGTTAGTCGATGAGAAATCAGTCAGAGCCTCAGATAGTCTTCATGTGTAGCTGCTCTTGCTTCAAACTATCTTGTTGCTTACACCCTTTTTCCTCTCTCTTCCTGTTTTCTTTCTTCACATTTAACCTGTTATGTATCCTCTTAAAAAGTGCCCATTAATGGTAAGTTGCCAATCGGCCCTGTGTTTTTTGGGGGTTTACTGTCAGTGGGATCCGCTCCCCCTCAAACCGTGTCTCTCTCTCTCTCTCTCTCTCTCCCTCTTTCTCTCTCCCTCTCTCCCTCTCTCTCTCTCTCTCTGGCATGGCCTGGTGTCGCACGCCCTCCCCGTCCACCTGTGCAGACATTAGCTAGCATGGCCTCCTCATACACACACCGTGTGTGAAACACCCTCCACTCACCTGCATCCTCACACAGCAAAACATGCCTTTCTTACCTAGTATTTTTGTCTTGTTTCCAGTTCAAATATTTAAAAATCAAGATGCATTTACTAGATGAGTAATGCTTTAAGATATTATGTCTCATTTCTGGGGGGAAAAAATCTATCAAGCTAAATTATCTTGCAATGGTGTAAAAAAAATAATCTTGTTTCCGTTTGAATTAAAATTATCTTTCTTACCCCATTGGCAGATCATTTACCTTGTTTTAAGCAAAAAAAAAATGTCAACCCATAAAACAAGACTTAATATCTTATGGCATTTTACTCATCTAGTAAATGCATCTTGATTTTTACAAATTTGGACTGGAAACAAGACAAAATACTAGGTAAGAAAGCATGTTTTTGCTGTGCACATGTGCTTCTTTTGCTTTTGGTTCTGGTCCCCAACCCTGTTGTGAAGGTCCACATCCACACATCACGTACCCTTCATTCGGACACCATTCCACCATTCGTGCGATCTCTAGCAAGCTAGTTTATGAGAACAGACGGCTTTGTTTTGATGTGTATCTTTGAGGTGCGCGCTCTGTTTATGCACATGTCGGATTAGAGTTGTTGTTGTTGTTGTTGTGCTCATCTCTTCATGTAGTCGTCGTTTAGCACCCGTAACCCTTCGTTTATCCATGTTTGCTGACCGTTTCTGTGGTTTTGGTTTAGATGAGAGCCAGACGATGACCAGCGAGACCAGCAGCCTGGTGCAGTCACACACACACTCCTATAAGAAGCGCGAGGCGCTGGACGTGCCGTACCAGACCGGACAGCTGCACCCGGCGATCCGAGTGGCCGATCTCCTGCAACACATCACACAGATGAAGTGTGCCGAGGGCTACGGCTTCAAGGAGGAGTACGAGGTGATTCTGCAGGGACACACTGCAAAACAGGCTTTTCTTACTCGGGATTTATGTCTCGTTTCCAGTCCAAATATCTAAAAAAATTCTTAAATCGAGATGCATTTACTAGAGTAAAATGACACAAGAAATTCTGTGTTTTTGCTTAAAACAAGCTAAATGGGGTTAGAAAAATAATCTTGTTTTCTATAAAACAAGAAAACAACATAGAATTTATTATGTCATTTACTTCTCTAGTAAAGGCTTCATAATTTAAGAATTTTTTAGATATTTAGACTGGAAACAAGTCAAAAAAACTGAGTAAGAAAAGCATTTTTTTGCAGTGTACTCTCTTACTATCATTTGTTTTGTCACATGTTTGTGCATCACTGCATGCTGTTTGCTTATTATGAATAATTCATCCTGAAAAATCATTTAGTCACATTTAAAGTGCCCCTATTATGCATTTTCGAGTGTAAAAAGTCTGCAAAGTTTTAAAGCTCAAAGTGCAGATAAAGTTATTGTTTACTAAAAGAAAGAAGTGATTTTGAACTGAAACGAGTCGTCAGTAATTCCCATAGACAGTATAAGAAGTGGACAGAGCATCTCATTGGAACTCAGTTGAGACAGTTGAAGCCCATTTTTAGGGATTTTTGAGCACTTCCGTTCCTGACGCGCAGACTCAAACCGACTCAAACTAAGCTTGATGACGTGAGCAACCTGTCTGACAGACGTTACTCTTCTAGTAGCTGTGCGTGAAAATTGCCAACGTTAATCTTGCAGAGACGGGGAACTTGAGTAAAGAGTGCTTTGGCGTGAGTGAGCAGGAGTAAGTATTCCGTTGCTTTTATGGACTCATTATCTATGGGCTTCTCCCTTGACGGGACGTCCCCCCGATCGCCTTGAGCTTCTCCTCCTGTCTGTACGGTCATTTGTACAGCGCGACAGAGAGTCGAGTGGTTATGACGCAATCGTTAGCCTATTTTTACTAAATCTGTTTCTACGGGGCCATAATGTAACATAGAAGGTAATGGAGCCCTTTATACATTGTCGTGTTTCTTTAGGAATAAATAATGGACAAATGGAGTCTTTAAACGCCTCAGATGTAAAGTTATTCGCTGTCAAAGTGACGCCAAAATGAATGGGAGTCAATGGAAATGCTAACGCAAGTGAAGTTCTGCTACAACATGGCGGCACCCGGCCGGCTTCAACTTCCGGTTGATGGATTACCCCCTTGGTAATTCCAGTCTCACTTCCTGTTACAATGTAACTAATTAGCATAATGCCCGCCTCTGGTCTTGATTGGCTGAGCAGCGTCTCTTAGCCCCGCCCTCACACACTGTAGTGTATCTGAGACTGGAAGAGTTCGGCTCGTGTTGTTCGTGTCGAGAAGACGCTGTTTTCTGAGATCGAGACGGTAAACCCACGCCATCGTTACTGTTCGTATCACTGTGATCAAGAGCTGAGAGTCAGATATGATAATGAGCGTTTGCTCTCTGACCAATCACAGCAGAGCAGCTCTCAGAGAGGCGGAGCTTAGAGACTGAATCTGCACAGAAGCGTTTCAGACACTGAGAGGAAAGAGCTGAAGCTGCAGTGGAGATTATGAGGACATTACAGTGTTTCTGACCAATCACAGCAGAGCAGCTCTCAGAGAGGCGGGGCTTAGAGACTGAATCTGCACAGAAGCGTTTCAGACACTGAGAGGAAAGAGCTGAAGCTGCAGTGGAGATTATGAGGACATTACAGTGTTTCTGACCAATCACAGCAGAGCAGCTCTCAGAGAGGCGGGGCTTAGAGACTGAATCTGCACAGAAGCGTTTCAGACACTGAGAGGAAAGAGCTGAACCTGCAGTGGAGATTATGAGGACATTACAGTGTTTCTGACCAATCACAGCAGAGCAGCTCTCAGAGAGGCGGGGCTTAGAGACTGAATCTGCACAGAAGCGTTTCAGACACTGAGAGGAAAGAGCTGAAGCTGCAGTGGAGATCATGAGGACATTACAGTGTTTCTGACCAATCACAGCAGAGCAGCTCTCAGAGAGGCGGGGCTTAGAGACTGAATCTGCACAGAAGCGTTTCAGACACTGAGAGGAAAGAGCTGAACCTGCAGTGGAGATTATGAGGACATTACAGTGTTTCTGACCAATCACAGCAGAGCAGCTCTCAGAGAGGCGGGGCTTAGAGACTGAATCTGCACAGAAGCGTTTCAGACACTGAGAGGAAAGAGCTGAAGCTGCAGTGGAGATCATGAGGACATTACAGTGTTTCTGACCAATCACAGCAGAGCAGCTCTCAGAGAGGCGGGGCTTAGAGACTGAATCTGCACAGAAGCGTTTCAGACACAGAGAGGAAAGAGCTGAACCTGCAGTGGAGATTATGAGGACATTACAGTGTTTCTGACCAATCACAGCAGAGCAGCTCTCAGAGAGGCGGGGCTTAGAGACTGAATCTTCACAGAAGCGTTTCAGACACTGAGAGGAAAGAGCTGAAGCTGCAGTGGAGATTATGAGGACATTACAGTGTTTCTGACCAATCACAGCAGAGCAGCTCTCAGAGAGGCGGAGCTTAGAGACTGAATCTGCACAGAAGCGTTTCAGACACAGAGAGGAAAGAGCTGAAGCTGCAGTGGAGATCATGAGGACATTACAGTGTTTCTGACCAATCACAGCAGAGCAGCTCTCAGAGAGGCGGAGCTTAGAGACTGAATCTTCACAGAAGCGTTTCAGAGACTGAGAGGAAAGAGCTGAAGCTGCGGTGGAGATTATGAGTACATTACAGTGTTTCTGACCAATCACAGCAGAGCAGCTCTCAGAGAGGCGGGGCTTAGAGACTGAATCTTCACAGAAGCGTTTCAGACACTGAGAGGAAAGAGCTGAAGCTGCAGTGGAGATTATGAGGACATTACAGTGTTTCTGACCAATCACAGCAGAGCAGCTCTCAGAGAGGCGGGGCTTAGAGACTGAATCTGCACAGAAGCGTTTCAGACACAGAGAGGAAAGAGCTGAAGCTGCAGTGGAGATTATCAGGACATTACAGTGTTTCTGACCAATCACAGCAGAGCAGCTCTCAGAGAGGCGGGGCTTAGAGACTGAATCTGCACAGAAGCGTTTCAGACACAGAGAGGAAAGAGCTGAAGCTGCAGTGGAGATTATGAGGACATTACAGTGTTTCTGACCAATCACAGCAGAGCAGCTCTCAGAGAGGCGGAGCTTAGAGACTGAATCTTCACAGAAGCGTTTCAGACACAGAGAGGAAAGAGCTGAAGCTGCGGTGGAGATCATGAGGACATTACAGTGTTTCTGACCAATCACAGCAGAGCAGCTCTCAGAGAGGCGGGGCTTAGAGACTGAATCTGCACAGAAGCGTTTCAGACACTGAGAGGAAAGAGCTGAAGCTGCAGTGGAGATTATGAGGACATTACAGTGTTTCTGACCAATCACAGCAGAGCAGCTCTCAGAGAGGCGGAGCTTAGAGACTGAATCTGCACAGAAGCGTTTCAGACACAGAGAGGAAAGAGCTGAAGCTGCAGTGGAGATTATGAGGACATTACAGTGTTTCTGACCAATCACAGCAGAGCAGCTCTCAGAGAGGCGGGGCTTAGAGACTGAATCTGCACAGAAGCGTTTCAGACACTGAGAGGAAAGAGCTGAAGCTGCAGTGGAGATTATGAGGACATTACAGTGTTTCTGAGCTTGGGTGAATGTGAATCTGTTGTAGGAGACTCAGAAACAACATTAGGAGCCTTTAAAATAACATAATAGGGCACTTTAATCAATGTCATTCCAAACCTGACTTTATTTCTTCTGGGAAACACAAAAGGAGATGTTTAGCAGAATGTCCAAGCTTCTGTTATGCATACAACAAAAGTGGATTTTATGGCACTTTTTTTGTGTTTAATTGGGAAAAAAGTAATACAGGTTTGAAACGACATGAGAATGAGTAAATGATTCTACTATTCTTTTCATTTTCACAGCAAAAATGTATGTTCTTCCTCAGTGTTCCTCAGTCTTGTTTTCCAGCACAAACATCTAAACATTCTCAAATCAAGATTCATTTACTGGAGAAGCACAATGACTGAAGATAAGAAGTCTTGTTTACTGAAAAATGTATCAAATAAAGTGAGTTTGTGCTTAAAAGAAGAACAAATCTCTGTCAGTGGAGTCAGAACAATCAACTTAATTCAAAGAGTAAAGATTATTGTTCTGACTCCACTGACAGATATTTGTTCTTGTTTTAAGCACAAACTCAATTCATTTTGATAAATTTTATTAGTAAACAAGACTTAATATCTTCTTCAGTCATTGTGCTTCTCCAGTAAATGAATCTTGATTTAAGAATGTTTAGATGTGTGTTCTGGAAAGCGAGACAGAAGATCGTGAGGAAGAGGTGTTTAGCACCGTGATCTCCGGCCCGCTCCAGTGTTGGTTCTGTCCCGGCCCGTTCTCCTCACACACACACACACACACACACACACACACGCTGATCCACGGCTCTGTGTGTGTGTGTGCCATCCTCTCACTCACAGCTTGATCCTTCACATCTCAATGAAGTAAATATTTCAGGCCGAGCCGTGGCTTGGAGCCGCCCCGAGGGCTCGTTCATTATGGATAAAGATTGTTTTAGAGTTGGGTAGATGTAGAGTTCAGCACTCACTCCATCTTGTCTTAACTGTGTTTTTACCCTCCATGTTGAATGACAGTCGCACAGTGATTGAGATGACCAGCACTAAAATATTCCCTTATCTTTCCCTCCGATACATGCTTCTTGTTATTCCGTACATTAACTTTGGAAAAGATAAACGAGGTAAGCAAGCCTTTCTGGATATATGTAAGATGTTCTGGTTGCTGATATGAGAGATGAGTTGTGTCCTTAAAGCTCCTGTAACTGGCCCATCGCTAAGCCCCGCCTTAAACACTCATTGACCAATCCTAGCTTAGCAGCTGTTTTTTATTTATTTTTTAGAATTTTATTTATTGAAATAACAATAGCAAAAGGGGAATACAGCATCGGCACCTCAGCAGCGTCCGCCGTCCGCTGTGTGATTTTGTCCTTTTTCAAATGCAAAGTTTAAAACTATGGAAACATATGGGAAATATAGTTGCAGAGTTACACAGAGAGAAAGATAATACATCTGGGCTCTTATTTTGAGTGTAAGAAGTTTGAATCAAGCCAATGCATAATTTAACCATTTCTTTAAAGAGCAACAAGTCAAGTCAGCTTTATTTCTCCAGCGCTTTATACAGAACTGTTGTTTCAGAGCCGCTCGTGTTCATTGAGTTATAGAGGGACAGATTAATACGCATCTATAATAAGCATCTCTGAAGTGTCAATAACAGTGTCAGTGTTACAAAGTTCATCAATTATGAAACCGGAGCTCTACAGAAGCGGTGTCATAATTCATTTCCAGACCATGAAGAATAATATGTGACCCTGGATCAGTAAACCGGTCGGGAATATCTGTGGCAATAGCCAACAATACATCGTGTAGGGGGCAAAATTATAGATTTTTATTTTATGCCGAAAATCATTAGGATATTAAGTAAAGATGAAGATATTTTGTATATTTCCTACCGTAAATATATCAAAAAATTATTTTTGTGAGTGAATGCAGCACAATCACGAACATAAATGCACAACTTTAAAGGAGATTTTCTCAATATTCAGATGTTTTTGCACACTCAGATTCCAGATGTTCAAATATTGTCCTATCCTAACAAACCACACATCAATGGAAATTATTTATTCAGTTCAATTTCAAGAAATTGACCCTTATGACTGGTTTTGTGGTCCAGGGTCTCATATTTAGAGTTAGCAACTGTAACCAAGGGGGGCGGAGCTTAACGCAGGGGTCGCTATGGGCTTTACAGGAGCAGAATCATGATGTGCGATGATAATCACTCCAGAAGCTTCTCGTACGCACACAGTCGACGCTCTCGTTCCTTCTCTCCTCCATCCGCAGTAATGATGCATAACAATAAAGAGAAGCTGGGAATCGACAACTGCATCCTAGAACAACATGCATTATTAAACCTGGCTTGATGCTTGTTTTATTCATGCTTGTTTTGACATCTTTCAGAGAGCGAGTGTTAATCGGCATCAGTTTCGGCACAACTGTTTATTTGATTTGAGTTCTCCTTTATCCTCAGCGCCACCGAAGGACTCCGAAAGCTTAATGTTATAGAGTTTGAGTCTAAAGGAATCCAGATCTGATTCTTTGAGTTGTGAGATTGAGCTCATAGTTCCAGGCCTGCGTCTGATTGGCTGTGGTTTGGAGGCTCAGCCAATCACAGCGAGTGTCCTCGAGGGACAGAAACAGCCTGGAGCTTCCCATCAGCCATTGCTCCATCTCGACCCATGAAGCTTATTTATTCAGCATCACATTTCTATATTTCAAAAGATTATTTTTCCATCACGCACAGTCTGAGAATCATCATTATTCTCTGCAGTGTGTGTGTGTGTGTGTGTGTGTGTGTGTGCGTGTTGTGTTTCTGCATCCGCATATCCTCACGGAAGCGGCGCCAGGGTTTGTTTGACAGATTCTGCACTTCATAACGCGCCTTGGCTTTGTAAACGCTCTCGAGGCGTGTGAATATTTAAATGTGTGTGTTCTGCTGACTCCAGCGTCTGACACCCGTCTCCTGCAGTTTGACTCAGTCGTCATTATTCTCGGACTCCCGCATCTCATTATCTGAAGGTGCTTGTCACTCGCTCGTCCGCTTACACACACTGTCACTTACGAGACGTCAAAGGAGCAGCGTCTCCACACACACCGGGCCGCGCTGAACCAAACACTCAGAGGCGCGGGTGATAAAGCATTAGGCGGAGAACAGGCGTCAACATGCATTACATCGCTTTTAATACGTCTCTGTTGATGCGCGAAAGCAAATGCAAACAATATTAAAGCTGCAAGCAGCATTTATCGGGGTTCAAGCATTTAAGACATTATGTTTTATTTAGCAAGCTTTTAACCACTGACATAAAAGACCATTTACAGCCAATACAGGCAAATTACCATAGGAAAAATATGGTTTTAAAGATTTTTAACAGTTATAGCGCCACCTATTGTCCGATCTCTATGAAATTTGGCATGCTTCTTCAGGGTGTTATGACACATATGCTTATCAATTTTTGTGAAGTTCTGAGTTTTCCTTTAGGAGTTATAGGCTTTTGAGTGTATTTTGTCACGCCCCTTTTCTAAGTGACCGTTACAGCCACTCAAATGCAAAAGATCAACGTTTTTTCGATAATTATTGATCTAGAGAGTCCAGAGAATTGCCCTAGACTGGTCTGGTTCCGATGGGGCGAAAAACCAGGGACTAGTTCGCAAAAGTAGGTTTCGGACAAATAGCAGACATTTTTTGGAGATTGGAGATATACATGTTGTCCGTCTTGCGCCAAGGATCACAGTGCTGTAAAGACATTGAGTCTAAGTCAAACGGTCTAGGAGTATGCACAATTTAGTACTTTTGGTTTGGTTGCTGTAGCGCCACCAATGGGCCAATCGGGGTCATACTCTGATCGGGTCTCCCCAAATTGAGGCCTATCATCTGGCTGAGTTTCAAGGCTCTAGGCCTTACGGTTTGGGCTGCACGATCAGTTTTACGGATCCTTACACTTACGAGAGGGTTAGTGCTTGAACCCCTAATGAATGCATCTTAAGAAGTGTCTATTCATCGAAGAACCCCGAAAAATAAAATGCATCACCGTTTCCACAACACTGATAATAATCATAACTGTTTCTTGAGCATCAGATCCTCATATTAGAGTGATTTCTGGAGGATCATGTGACACTGAAGACTGGAGTAATGATGCTGGAAATTCAGGAATAAATTACACTTTACTGTATATTCACATAGACAACATTGCAATAGTATTTCACAATTTTTACTGTCTTTAGAGACTCTTGTGAAAAACATTAAAAGTCCTTTCCACCACAAACTATTCAGGATGAGATATCGAATTTTTTCCGTAGACACAAATGCGTTGAGTCAGGAGCGGTGTGAGTCTCGGCATCATCACAGCTCAGAGACGATGAAGAGCGCGTTCGCCCGCATGCGTACGCCGGAGAGGATCCACTGGCCTTCAGAAGCCGGCGCTGACGTTTATTTTCATAATCATCTGTAATTGCTCTGCCTTCATTAATGTTTCATGAGCTTCGGTTCAGGAGGAACACACGTCTGCTTTCATTCGTTCCTTTCTCGCTCTTTAATTCCCTCCAATGTACATCATGTGCGGAGATGATCTGAAGTTAAACTCGTTAAGCGGAGTTAGTGGAGTAATGTAAACATAAACCCCTTTATAACACATCTTTCCCTCGAGGGTCAAAATCACAGAAAGCCCTACAGTTACACTTCTTCTTTTTTGTCCAGAAATGTTATTTTATTTCATTTTGATCATATTTTTTCATTCAAATTTTGTTATTTTTTGTTATTTTGTATTTTATTTACCTTTAAATTACTAGATTTGATCAATAAGTAATAAATAAATTGTAATTTCTTCACATTCTTTCAATTTAAATTCAAAATAACTCACAATTTCATGTATAACCCTTTTAATTCAGTTTAAAATATCTTGCATTGGGTGTGTGTGCGTTCAGATACACATGTAGACATTATTAAAAACAGATTTTAGGTGAAGTTTGAGCATCTTGAGTGTGAGTTTTGAGCGTGTCCGGTTCGCCTGTGTACTGAAGCGTTCTCAGATTGAGCCGTGAGGGAAGATTTATTACTTTTTTTAATATCAACCTCAAAACTCCATTAATTTGTGTGTGTGTGTATTCGTGGTTCAAATGCGACTGAAGTCCTGAGTCTCGGACCCCCCCCCCCCCCACCGATGAACACTCAGTTTAATGAGTTCCGGGGTAAAATGAGCCGAAGCTGAAACTGTGTGTTTATGTTCTCATATTCGGATGCATGAGAACTCAGCTTGGCTTTTCCCCCTGACAGACTTCATCAGGATCTGTGGTGTTGACCTTTGACCTGTCGTCCGTTCTCTGCTAACCCTCGTTCTGTCTGTGTTTATGATTGTGTTTATGATTGTGTTTATGATGGTGTTTATGATTGTGTTTCAGAGCTTCTTCGAAGGACAGGCGGCGCCGTGGGACTCGGCCAAGAAGGACGAGAACCGAATGAAGAACCGTTACGGGAACATCATCGCATGTACGTAGAGAAGCGTGTTCCTCCGAGCGTGTGTGTGTGTGTGTGTGTGATGAGAGTCACTCTTACAGCAGAGCTTCACACACACACACACACACGCAGCGTCAGTGGTCATTATGAAAATGAGCTATAATAATTAGGATGATTTTTCTGGACATTGCTGTAAGAGTTTTCCCAGGAGCCGCTGGATGTGTGTGTGTGTTTGAGGCGTGTGTGTGTGTGTGAAGCGGCGTCACATGACTTCAGTGTCGAGACGAACCAAACTTACACATAAACAGAAAAGCAACACTGTTCAATCTCACCGTCTCTGGGATTACAAATGGACTTCTGGTACTTTTTGTGATCAGGTCTCACTCCACTTTCACACCTTTCCTTCTGACAACTAGTCCCAGTATAATATAATGTAATGTAATGTGTGTGTGTGTGTGTGTGTTTTCAGACGATCACTCACGTGTGCGACTGCAGCCTCTGGACGGAGAGCAGAGCTCCGATTACATTAATGCTAATTATGTTGATGTAAGTATAAGTACACACACCAGCCAGAGCTTACATTACAGGTCAGAGTGTGTGTGTGTGAGTATATGTGTGTGTGTGTGTGTGTGTGTGTGTGTGTGTGTGTGTGTGTGTGTGTGTGTGTGTGTGTGTGTGTGTGTGTGTGTGTGTGTGTGTGTGTGTGTGTGTGTAAGTATATGTGTGTGAGGATGTGTGTCTGTGTGTGACTGAGTGTGTGTGAGTATATATGTGTGTGTGTGTGTGTGTGTTTTAACTCTCTCAGTCAGTATCAGGATCACAGCTCCTCTTATTCTCGTCTCGTCTCACCAAACACACACACACACACACACACACACACACACACACACACACACACACACACACATACACACAGTTAATCCAGACGCACGTCAGCAGATTTAGGATCAGATTTTCCCGCTCCAGACGTAAACACACACGACACCTGTGGGTTTGCACACACACTACTCTGTGTTATATTAGATTATCATGTTATGTGTTATATAGTTAATATATATTTTTATTAGAGATTGCTGATACTTCAGATGTCACTCTTCTGCAGCTCCGGAACATTAGGTCATAAAAGCTGCTTGATGTCTATAGCAGTGTGTTCTATAGCAGTGTGTTTAACATCCCAGAGTTCCCAGAGTTCCCAGAATGCCCTCGTCCTGCGGTTATGAGCTTCCCGGGAGAGTGCCAGCTGGTGTTTCTGCTCCTCCTGGTGTTGTTGACAGAGGAAATGTTGTTTTCCAAACACTTCCACACACACTCCTCACACACACTGATCCGCTTCTGTCCCGGAGAACGTCACTTGGTGCAACGATTGAACAAGTGCATTCTGGGAGTTCTAGATCAAAAAGAAGCTCTCTAGTTTGATCAGTCCATCACACACACTCTCCTCTGTGTAATATCACGGAACATCGTGTTTTATTGGATCTAGTTGTTGTTAAACAGGGAAAATACAAAACAAAAAAGAAAGAATTATGTTCAGGTGGCTCTGTCGCAGGTCTATAACCATTGCAAACAAATGAAATAAAGCATATTTCGTAATCTTTTGTAACTGGTAAAGGTTAAAGATGAGCAGATGATTTGAAAACATCCCGTCATCATAGAGTCTCAGACATCAGCGAGTGTGTGTGTGTGTGTGTAGTCCACAACACATCGATTAGAAAACACACATTGTTTTAAATATCTTTGAACATCCACATAGAAATGAAGTCTGGCATGATGATCAGTGAGTGATGGCGGGGTGAGCGTTCCCAGCATTCCCAGCGCTCCCAGCGTTCCCGGTGTTCCCGGCGTTCCCAGCATTCCCAGCGCTCCCAGCGTTCCCGGTGTTCCCGGCGTTCCCAGCATTCCCAGCGTTCCCAGCGTTCCCGGTGTTCCCGGCGTTCCCAGCGCTCCCAGCGTTCCCGGTGTTCCCGGCGTTCCCAGCGCTCCCAGCGTTCCCGGTGTTCCCGGCGTTCCCAGCATTCCCAGCGTTCCCAGTGTTCCCGGCGTTCCCAGCGCTCCCAGCGTTCCCGGTGTTCCCGGCGTTCCCAGCGTTCCCAGCGTTCCCAGCATTCCCAGCGTGCTTCTGTTGCTCGTGACGCTCAGGGTTTGAGGACGCAGAAGCAGAAGCGGGTCACCAAAGCGCTTTACTATTGCCTCACATTCACCCATTCACACACTGACGGCGGAGTCAGCCATGCAGCTCGCCGAGAGCACACACACACACACACACACACACACACACACACACACAGCCGGGGTTAGGGGTCTCACACACACACACACAGCTGGGGTTAGGGGTCTCACACACACACACACACACACACATACAGCTAGGGTAAGGGGTCTCACACACACACACACACACACAGCTGGGGTTAGGGGTCTCACACACACACACAGCTGGGGTTAGGGGTCTCACACACACACACACACACACACAGCTGGGGTTAGGGGTCTCACACACACACACACACACAGCCGGGGTTAGGGGTCTCACACACACACACACACACACACACACACACACACACACTCACACACACACACACAGCCGGGGTTAGGGGTCTCACACACACACACACACACTCACACACACACACACAGCTGGGGTTAGGGGTCTCACACACACACACACACACACACACACACACACACAGCCGGGGTTAGGGGTCACACACACACACACACACACACACACACACACGGCCGGGGTTAGGGGTCTCACACACACACACACAGCCGGGGTTAGGGGTCTCACACACACACAGCCGGGGTTAGGGGTCTCACAAACACACACACACACACACACAGCCGGGGTTAGGGGTCTCACACACACACAGCCGGGGTTAGGGGTCTCACAAACACACACACACACACACACAGCCGGGGTTAGGGGTCTCACAAACACACACACACACACAGCCGGGGTTAGGGGTCTCACAAACACACACACACACACACACACACACACACACACACACACACACACACACACACACAGCCGGGGTTAGGGGTCTCACAAACACACACACACACACACACACACACACACACACACACACACACACACACACACACACACACACACACACACACAGCCGGGGTTAGGGGTCTCACAAACACACACACACACACACACACACAGCCGGGGTTAGGGGTCTCACAAACACACACACACACACACACACACACAGCCGGGGTTAGGGGTCTCACACACACACACACACACACACACACACAGCCGGGGTTAGGGGTCTCACAAACACACACACACACACACACACACACACACACACACACACACACAGCTGGGGTTGGACACCAGGGTTGGATGCATGGGCACCTCAAAGAGGAGGAGGAAGAGGAGATGATGATGATGATGATGAAGACTGTGGAGCTTCTTCCTCCTCTGAGCTTTGCTGGGAAACGAGATTCTTGACAAATGGAATGAGTGGATTATCCGAATCCCACAGACTCTGAGCCTCTGTTCCATTATTCCATAACATAATCCCACAATCTGTGCTGGAGGCGTTACTGTAGATATGTGCAGTGAAGGAGAATACTGTGTGTGTGTGTGTGTGTGTGTGTGTGTGTGTGTGTGTGTGTGTGTGTGTGTGTGTGTGTGTGTGTGTGTGTGTGTGTGAGAGAGTGTGTGTGTGTGTGTGTGTGTGTCCGTCCATGTGTGTGTGTGTGTGTGTGTGTGTGTGTGTGTGTGTGTGTGTGTGTGTGTGTGTGTGTGTGTGTGTGTGTGTGTGTGTGTGTGTGTGTGTGTGTGTGTGTGAGAGAGTGTGTGTGTGTGTCCGTCCGTGTGTCTGTGTGTGTGTGTATGTGTGTGTGAATGATTATATATATAATATTACATTATTGATAATTATATTTAAATAATTGTTAATATAATTTAAATATTAAATTATTAAATAATTTATTATTTAATCTTGCTACAATTTTATTTTTGCATATTCTATAATAAAATGTTGTTGTTTTCTGTATAGGGCTACCATCGACCGAACCACTACATCGCCACACAAG